GAACTGTGCCACGTGTTACCTTTCACGGTGGTGTTTCAGTTTTTCTGTTCTCCATATGTCTTGGTTTTGTACTGCTCTGCCAGCTTGGTGCTGTTGGCACCCTACATCTTTCCATGCACTTACTTAGGCACGTGGTCCCTTGTTTGGGGGTGAATATGGAGTGAGCAGACATGCAAAGTGCGTGCGGGGCCGCTGTGCCAGAGCTGGTCTGTCAGCGGTGCATTGATCTCAGTGAGATATGTTGCACATTCATTTAACATTAAAATAAGAGCATGGTTCTGCCCTTGGGGAGAGGATGAGGGAGAGCAAACCACACATCACAGATGGTAGTTGTGTTGCTACAGGAAGATGCTCAGAACGGCACTGTGAGGGGGTGGTATGGGAACCTACACAGAACTGAGCAGAACAACTCGTTAGTGAGTCCATGCTGTTTTTTCTAAGCTTGTAGGTGGGATAAACCAAGTTCTCATCTTATCTTTGTGGTAGGTAAAATAACCCTTCTGGTTTGGTCCTACTCGTCATCTTGCCTCATAGGATAGGAGGAATAACTTCATGAAATGGCAATACAGTTGCATTTACCCTGGTGGTGTGCCTCTAGAGAGGATCAATAGGAGATTCCTGATTCAGGGAGAAAAAAGGTTTCATGGGCAATGTAGGAGTGATCCTTCCATGTGGGAAGTCTTCCTAACATGCTTATGAGTTTGCCTATGAACAAGACATGTCCCAGTGACGATTTGGGTGTGAGAAAAGTGAGCATATTCGGCAAATATGGTGAAACTTTTACCATTTCTCCTTGTGCTTGAAAAGAAGTCATTACTATGAGCGAGTGCTGGAGTTCTTTATCAGAGTTTTCATTAGAAATAAGAGAAGGGATTAATCTGGTGTTAAGGAAAATAACATTTGTGTCTCTTGCCATTCAGTATTACTGACACAGTTGACTGTGGGGAATGTAGCTGATGCAATGCTAAAAGCTGTGACATCCCCACTCCCAGTTTAAGTTTTAAAAAGAAAAAAAATTACTTTGAGGAATTTGAGGCATTCAGCTGTATAGATGCACATTTGCAATGGTTTCAATATGTAGATGACTTAGGAAATATAGATAGCCTGGTACTGTCTAAGACTTCTCAAAATGAGATGGGAAAAAAAAGGGATCAAGTTGTTTCCATAATGTTTCTGCTGGGAAGAGAAAAATAGGTAGAAGAATGATAGAGTGACTGTTCAACCATGAAGTAATTTGAGGTATGTATACCACAGAAGACTGACCTAAGTTTGGTGTCTAGGCATTATTTCTGGTATTTACTCCTTGCTTTGACTTGCTTAAGTAGATAACATAGATAATTTTATGTGGAGTTTACAGACAGGGTATTAAATCCCTAAAGATGTTTAGATTGGGTTGGTCCTGGCTGGATGCTTAACCCCAGAGCTTTTCCTGGTCACTGGAATAGTTCCCCTTGTGTGCTGGAGAGCCATGAGGGAAAGAATACAATGAAGAAGGGGAAGCTTGTTTGCCTGCCTGTCAGCAGCAGGCATGGAGAAACCCTCTTGCCAAACCAGCAAAGCAGCAGCAGCTGAGGAACAGGAGGGTACACACAGCAGCACCAGGTGGGACTCATCTCGTGGCCCTTCTCTGTTGGATGTCTCTGCCAGATGGGAAGTTCCACTGTACTGATCAGGCATCTGAAAGTAAGTGGCCCAGCATCAAGTGTCTGGAAATCTTGATCCTCTTTTGATTCAGTCCCACATCTAGAAAAGTGTGTAGAAACTCTCTTGATTTTTTTTTTTTTTTCATCTTCCAAGGTCTGGTTCCAAATAAGACATCATCCTGCAGACTTTGGAAAGTACGTGTGATTTTGATGCCTTTCAGTTATTAGACTCTGCTCCAGTGACTAGTTCCTCTGACAGGAAATTTTTTTGGTAGCTCACTCTAAGGGAGTTTGTCATCTGAGCATGTAAAAGGACACATTGAAGCACCTGAGGCTTTGGCAACCTTGCTAGGTCTTCTGTAATGTAGTAATAACCTCAGCTTTGTTTCAGAAACTGAAATACATGGGCCATATTCGGTGTTTATTTTTTAACCCCATATGAGATGACATGCACTGCATATGCCTTTGGGACAATTTTATTGCAAAAGATATAGCAACTTATGTTGATAAGCTCAAAATAGCTTCTATATGTTACAGAAGGAGTTCTGCTGCTTTCTGCAAACAAATATACCCGCTTGAATATTTATGAAGATATATATGTGAGTTATCTTGTTTTTTAATAAAACAGTATTTAAAGACTTCAGTAGGTGGCAAGTATTTTGATTGCTATGAAAGGTAAGGGTTCAGAGGAGTGTGTTCTGATTGCTTTTGTTAATGAAAGGGTATATTTTTACAAGTTTTGAGGCTTCTGCTAAAGTTTGCACTATGAATAGGGCATCTAAGTTTAGATGAGAGATTAAACCACTTTGACATTCTGAGATCCAACAATTTCAAAGTCATCCCAAGAAGTTAATAAAAACGCACATTGGCAAATGAACACCACAGTTGTTCTGTAAACTTAAGATAAACCATTCAAACAACAACAAACCCTGAAGTGCCCTTTATAAATGCTTGACAGAAGATAGCTGTGCAACTGCCCTGTGAAAGAGCCTTGGAAAGCTTACTGTCAGTGCTTGAAGTTTAAGCTTTAGGAAGAAATTATATCCTATATGCATATACCCCTTATGCATATCCTAAAGAACACTTGTGCTCCAGCTCTTCCTGACGTCTTGGCTGTCATTGCTGTGCTTTTGGCTGAGCACAACTGAACCACTGGGGAGTCTCTGCCAGGTACCAGTCCTCTGTGCTGCAGCAGTGCAGTCAGTATGGAGAACAATATGTGGAGGTAAGTTGTCGCATTAAAAATTAAGCCACAATATTAGGGGTAGCTATAACTTATTTAGGCCTTTTTCTCAGCTAGCCCTAAGTCAAGCCCCAAGCAAACAGGTTTTCAGACAATAAATCTGGTGTCTGAACTGAAGTCCCCAGTAAATTTAGTTTCTGTGTTTGAGTTTTGTTCAGCCCCATGTAATGTCCCTTGTTGAAGGGAAAGATGTGTTCAGCAGAACAGTAGTGAGGAGGTGGGTCAGGAAATGGGGAGTATCAGGAGTTGCTCTGCTTATGCCTAACTCTCTATCCTTAATCGTTTTTTCAAGCCAAGAAGCTATTGCTGTGGAAGTGCAGCAGCACAGATTAGTGTTAAAAACTCTGCATACAAATACATCTTTTATGTCATTGGTTTTTAGGAAGCTGGCAGTGCCCTGCACCTTCTGTGTAGATAGTATTGCTGGACTGATGATGTTCAGTTAAAGCTGAAATTTAATGTTTCTTTAAGTGGAAGACCTGAACCTTCCCTGTGTAAAACCACTGTTTCATACAGGACTAGTTTTGATAACCTCCTGAGAGGTCCCCAGCCTGGATTTTGTTACCACACCAGGGAGATCATACAAAATATATTACTTGCATTATGCTTACTTAATTAGCAATTTTTGTGCTACTTCAGTCATGTTTCCAAAGATAATGATTTAAAAGATTGGGCTAATTTTGCAAACAGAAAGGAGTTTCCTTTATGGTAATTTGCTTCAATTAAAATTTTTATGTGACTAATAAATATCTTGGGTCATGGTCATTAAGACCAATGCTCTTAAAATTCTGATTTGCAAGTAATATGGGAAATTTGAGTTTTAATTTCCTTCCATTTCCTGCTAGTTCCACAAGCCTGACGTGACACAACTTTATAAGGTGCATGAGCACGCACTTTTTATTGGTTCCTTTGATAACTTTGCTTAATTAACATATTTTCTTGAATTATACTTGATGGAATGTAACCAGCAACTGCTGCTTCCTAATTAAAGTGCAATTCTTTTGGCCCTGCTAATGTGTCAGTCCTCCCCCACTCACCAGTGATATGGGTAGTTCTTCAGTTAAGAAACCACCATGTGTTTTAAATAATCCAGAGCTGTAGTAGGTACATTTTTAAATGAATTCATGGAACAGAAGTTAATCCCAAATATGAAAAAGGGTCTCTGTAAATGCTTGAAATGCTGCTTTTCCCAGTGTATAATGTGGAACTCCTGATAATTCCCTCTTAAATCTGGTTAATGGCTCTTGAATAGCTCTCCTCACACTAGAGGCTGCTGTAAGCCGTTTTGAGGGGTGGTTTAACAAGAGAGTGGTGGGTCTTAAATGCTTTTCTGATTGCAGGCAACTTAAACCCACATTTTTTCTCAAGGAGTCTCATGTGTCTTGGCAACTCTCATGTGGTCCTGCAGGCACTGAACTACCCAAGAGTCAAGCAAGAGAGCTAAAGGGGCAAGACATTTCTTTAAATCAAATATCAATGCAGTATTGTAGGATGCTAGATTCCAGTTCCTGCATGTTGTCTGCCTTGTGGATTTGGGGCTTTATTGGGCTTGACCCTTTCCTTTGACTTGCTTTTCAGTCTCTCAGGGTTTGGGTAGATCTCAATAGTTGAATTTACACTAGCTGAAGCTTAACTTGCTGGCAAGAGAGCAGTATGGAGAGATTGTCTGCTTTTGAGAAGGTACTCAAATTTGAGTTGTGCTCCTCCTCCAAAAGAAGTGTCTAGTATTTCAGCCCTGACCTGGGTGCCATCTGGTGGGCAGTGCCACACAGAGGTGCTTCTGCCACAGCAGCTCAGCAGCATGGCCACTTCTGAAGGAACCTGGCCACTTCAGGGAGCAGGTGGTACTTTTTAAGGAGTTTGTGTGTGTCCAGAGCTGAGAATTGAGCAACCTGGGGCTCTATACCGGAAGGAGCTTTTCAAAGCACTACAGTTATTTTCTCCATGTTTACTGCCTCTTTTGCTATCCAGCCAAACCAGAGTTTCTGAAGCCTGCAAGGGAAAAATTAAAAATCAAGAGTCTACACAGAGCATGATCATGCATAGGGACAGAGCTGCAATCAACCTTGCTGACTGGAAAGTGCCAGAGGAAAACACCTCCAGTGTTTCTTGAACTGAGGGCTAGCATTATTCCTGTGGCACTTGGTGTGCCTTCAGCATGGTGCCCAAGGGTCCTGCCTTGCTTGAGTCAATCAGTTCCGTGGCTGGGAATTAAATTCTGTGCAAATGTTTTGGATGAGCTGATTAACATAGCGGTAGAGGTTGTCAAATTCATCCACAAAGAAGGAATGCTCCTTATCGGGGTCTGTTGCAATGGCTTCAAGTTCATCTGGGGCTGCCCAAGCAACTCCAATGGAGTAAGCAATAATTCCTGAAAAGAAACCCAGAGTTTAGAATAAGCATAAAAGTTTTCACTGCATTAAATTTAATTTAAGACCAATACTGCAAATGTAGCTTCCAGGCCACCAAAAAAGTTGCAGTGCTCTCTCTATAAAAATGGTGTTTTCAAATTGGGCGAAAGGTGTAGTTTGTGCTTTTGCCAACAGCAAAAAGGTTTAAATGATAGTAAAGCTTTTGCTCTGAGTCTAAACATGCTCCTGTACAAAGCTTCTCATTCCAATCAAATGTGTTGAAAGATGTATGATTATCCTGACTGGAAAGCCAAAGGAGTCATGTGTTACTAAGGCAGTAGAAATCCTTTGAGATCTCCTAGATATAGCTGCATTTGTGATGATTTAGGTGGTGTTTTTTCTTCAGAAGTTCCTTGGTCAGATATTAAACAGATGCTGATCTTGCTAGAGCTAAATGAGACCCAGTACTACTCTTCCTTCATAAAGTTTCATCTGGTACCTTCAAATTGTAGCAAACTGCATTTATCTGACCTGGATAAATGCAGAGGCACATGGGGAGAGCAGGTAGTGATAGAGGAGCTTACCATTTTGGTGAGCTGCCATGGCTGGCACACTGACATCGTCGTAAGACCTGCCATCTGTGATGAGAATCATGATCTTTCTTTTGTTGGGTTTGGATTTGCTGAACAGCTGCTCTGAGGCATAGCTGATGGCTGCTCCCGTGCTGGTCCCACCACTCCAGTAACTGATCCTTTTAATAGCACTCAGCACGTCCTGCTTTGTGCTGTACTTGTCAAAGCTGAACTCCAGCCTTTGCTCATAGGTGTACTGAATGGCTCCAATGCGGGTGTCGGTGTCCGAGATCTCAAACTCCTTGCTGATGTTGACTACAAACTGGAGGACCGTGCGGAAGTTGCTGGTTCCGACGCTGCTGGAGCCGTCGATTACAAAGCCAATGTCAGCTGAATTGAGACATGTCTTGCTGCAAACCAGCCGGTCGGTGTCGCAGACACGCTTCACCAAGGGCTGCACCACCTTGTGTAGGCTGAACCAGCTGGGCACATTGATGGAATAGAAACCGTTGGTCCTGCACACTGCCTGCAAGGCAACACAAGGCTGAATGCAATGGAAATTCAGTCCACCTGTTTCTGCTGGGGTATGTAGATAAGTTGTAAATATAGGCGCCTGGAAAGAGCAATGCTGGAGTCTGAAATGGCCTCTCCTCCAGTTACCATCTGCTTCCCTGGGAAATGATGTCAATGTAGCATCACAGAATCTTGTGTAATGAGACAGTTTTTCCTGCCTTTTTTAAAAAGCTGTGGGATGGAGCTGATATTATAGTAGTGAAAGAAATGTAACAGGCAAGTTTGTCACCTGTCAAGCTATTTTCCATGGGAGCCTGTGTGTTTGCCGGATAGTAACTTTAGCTCCCATCGTTCAGGGCAACAAGGAAAGGTTTGCCTGCTGACAAACCCTACTGCTTTGAACTGAAAACCGGGACTGGAGTTGGGTGGTGTGTGGGTCACACCCTTCTAAGCAGAAAAATCCAGGCAATTTTTGTGCAAAATGCAAAAAGCCTGTAAAGATTTCCTGTTGTGTTGGCTCTGGCAAATAGTAAAAGGAAAAAATCTTTACCTTTTATAAGAGAATACTTACAGGGGCCAGATCTGTGGGGTTTTTTTATATGATTAGTGAGAGTCAGGTGAGCATGGGTAGGAAGTAGGGGTGGCACAGAAGGGGAAGTGCGGGAAGTCAAGTGGGGGCAGGAGTAGTGGTCTGGACGGTCTGGATCAAATTCTCCTTGGCTTTAGTGCCTTCTAAATGCCAATGCCTCAGGTCTCTGGGTAAGAATATTTTGCTAAACCAGGCTTTATCCATCAACTTTGTGATGGTGTGTGTGTCTGACTGTTTTAAGAGACCAAGGCACTGGTCTTGACTTGCATAAAGCCTATCAGCTCCAAGGGAGTTACAGTTCCCTCCAGTCTGGGCTCTTCATGCTGTCCTGCTCTCATTTGCTCTTTTTACTGTCTTGCTACTAGTTTTGTTTATGATTTATCAAGTCACCATTCCCTCTTTACCTTCCTATTCTGAGCCCGCTCTACTCTCACTTCTGCTGTGTCCCTAGCAGGTTTGCAGAGTCTCACTGTAGCTTCGCCCTTTCAAAAAACATTAAATGCAAATGAGACTACAATCCAATTAAACACTGACCGGAGACAGCTCGACTCTCTGGAGCAGCTCTGAAACTCATGGGAGATTATTTTGCCACAGAGTGACCCAGCTCAGATGGGAATCTGTATTCTGAAAATACCAGATAACTCAACCCTGCTTTCTGAACCCAGCCTGGTCTGGCACTTTGATAGATACCTCCTGCTGTAACTGGGTGCCAGCTTGCCCTGAAGCACTGTTGAGCAGGCAGCTACTGCTGGTGCCAAATACAGATCAATCAAGGCTTGCATTCTTTTTTGTATTTTTTTTTTACTGCACCCAGCAGGGAAACTATTTTTCAAATAGCTACCATGAAGTCCTATAGCAGCAGAAAGAAATAACTGAAAAATAACCTGCATCAACAGTGGAAACAAAATGGTTGAGTTACCCAATATAGCTGATAAAATCGGAGGTGCCTATGCTGGGAGTGTCACAACATTCATTTGTGTGGCACCTGTTTGTAAATGCAACACTCACATTAGGTTGACAGGGCTCCTCACCCTTTGCCAGGTGGGATATGCACAGCAGAAGGCTTGTGGAAAGCTCGGACTTCAATTGTGCCTTGTCATGCTGCTGAACATTTGGAAAACCTCTTGTCAGTCAAAAGCCATTTGCACCACGATGCACCTCAAAACAGAACTTTACTGACTTCCATCCCCTTTCTGACTTCAGTGTTGCTGCCTGACTTTTTGTACAGGAGACCTCAAGACAACAATCCATGCAAGCAGGACAAGAAACAACCATAAGTGATAAGAAGGAAAAGGAAATGCCCTGAACGAAATAGGTTGGAAAATATAGTCAGAGCCAAGCTCCTGGCAAGACCCAGCCCTCTAAGTACCTTGTCCACAAAGTTTGGTTCAATAACGTTCTGCTTCTCACTCTGAGCAGCTGCTTCAACAGTGACAAAGAAAATATTGATTCCTGATTCTCTAGCCAGCCTGGAGGCCTCTTCCACTCGATCAGTTGGCCAACCATCCACCATCACTACAACCACATTGGGTGCTCCACCTCGGTTTCCATTAGCATCCAAAAAGAAGTTCTTATTAACAAATGAAAGTGCCTTCCCTGGAAGAAAAGAGGAGTTGAGGAGGAGTTACAGATCTGGAAGCACCCTACCTGATAGCATCCCATGAAATGGTATGCAGAGGGCTGACTCAAGTGTTGGAGCCTGTGGAGAGTGGAGGAAAGCAGTGGCTGTGGCTGTGTGAGCAGGAGGGGAGGTCACTACTGGTAGTGCCAGTGCCTTCTGAGCCCTCCTGCACTGAACCTCCTCGCTATGCACCAGAAAAGCTGGGGTTGATGAGCTGGGCTAGCAAGGATCCTCAAAGCATCAATGGGAACTGCCCACAGGGAGACAGGTATATCCTGTCCACTTATGGTGGATTTGCAGTGCCCTGGAGCAACACATGCAGGTCATGGTGGGAGGAGTGCCCCCTCACCAGCCCTGCCCTGGCACTGAGCACTGTTTCATCACAGCCTCTGTACCCCATGAGGAGGTGTGGGCTTGCTATAGCCCAGGATCTGAAGCCCTTCCATAACTGAGGATGTGCAAGGAGTCCCATCACCTACCAACATTGGAAAGTCCCCCTTTTTGTTGAATTTTCTCAATGGCATTTCTTAGGTCCTTGGAGTTGGCATAGGTTTTTAAGTTAAATTCTGTGGAAGGGTCATCTCTAAAAGAAGAAATGAGAGTAAATATCAGTGTTTTGCTCCACATGCAACACAAAAGCTGTAGGACCCATCTGTGCTGCCTGGCTCCTGAGTGCGAGCTGGAGTGAGGCCTTTAGCACATATCAGCCGCCAGAGCATGCACTTGTGCCCTGTGGCAATGACAGTAGGTCCACTAGAAGTTCTTACCCATACTGAACAATGCCCATCAGAGGACCAGCACTGCCGATGCCGAGGGCTTGAGCCACATTACCAAGAAAGCGCTTCTGGAGCTGAAAGCGGCGTTTGCCGATGCTCCAGCTCCCATCCATCAAGAAGGACAAATCAACCTTGCAATCTGAGGAGAGTTATAGAAACACAGAAGATATTTTTAGTCCTTTCTGATAGCTGTGCTTCTTGTTAACAGCAAAGGCCTAAAAAGTCTGCATCCAGTGACTTGTCCTGCTGTGCAAGCTCTACGGAAAAGCCTTTGACAAGGACAAGTCACAGCTGGGGGTTCAAGTCTGTTCTAGTCATTGATAAATACAACCCTTGGCATTAGTTTCTCCTAGACAACATACAAGCTTGGCTGTGTGACAAAAGGGTAAGAATCTTTTCCCAGAGGTCAGTCTAGGAGGACTGCATTTGCGGGCTAGAGAGGTCAGCCACACAGGAGCAAGCTGGCTTGTATCCTGTGCCCTCAGAGCCATGGCTTGGGCTCAGCATGCTTTATTTGCAGCCCAGAAGTGGTGGGAGTTTGCAAAGCCAGCCATGATCCTTGAATTTTGTGGTCTGGCCACCTGCAGAGAAGAAACTACAGGGATTTCCTTGGTTATGCTTTTTTGAGCTTAATTGGTATAAAAGACATACCAGGAACAGTTCTTCACATACTGTGTTAATGCTGCTTAGAAGGGAGAGAAGTTTCTGAAATGTGTGATGCCTCAGGGGAAGGACACCATGGGGTCTCTTTGAGGAGCTGTAGACAGCAATCCTGGCAACTCTGTACTTCTGAATGAGAATCGTTCATCAGTTTCATTCTGGGCTGCAGCTAACATTAGGGGTGATGATTTTGCTTGGTGTGTTCAGACTGAGTAGGGGCTCTTTTTGTATGTTGCTGTACCTGTGTGTGCAGCAGCAGCATTGTGCTGTTGTGTATTGCCCCTCTGGGCTGAAAGCAATGTTCTAGGAAAGGTATACCTGCACCCAAATAAACTCTTCCCTTTAATTACACAGATGAACCTCATATTTGTGCTTCTGCAAATGCTGTCTTCATCACTGCCAGCCTACTTCCGTATCTCTGCAAGTTAGTGGTAAAATACTCATCAATGGACTGCAACCATGAGCAGGATCAAAATTTGGCTTAACTAGAGCGCTAATTAACATTTTCCTCCTCCGGTGTCCGGGTCATCCCCATCTATTGATTTTCCTCTGATGATGCCTCCTACCAATCAGACTGTTCAAACTAGTGTGTTTTAATCATTAGGTAGCCCCAAGGCTACAAAGCGCCAATTGTTCTTAGTGGCTTATGCAACTGCCTCCCATCTCATTACCTTCAATTTTTTCTCCCATAGCTGTCTCTTTTTTCTAATTCCAATAATGCTGAATTACAGGAGCGTGACTGAGAATTGTGTCCATTCACAGCAGATCATGAGGTAAGGTCGGGAACCCACAACAAATAACACTTCAATTAACGGCCAAACTTTCCTGAATTTGTTGTCCTTCAAAGGGAGCTGCACCATGCTGTCTATATGTGGAAACTGGGCAGTTAGTTAGCCAGCAGGGTCTGGCTACGCAAAGATTTGCATACACTTATATACTGACTTAATTTCTGGGGAGGATTCAGACAGCAGGAGTATTTTGGTGCTGGGACATTAGAGGAACACTGCAAGAGCTCAGGCTAAGGGTGCTTCGTAGGGAGGTGAGCACTTTCTGATTTGCAGGGAGGCAAGATCTGAATTAGAGCTTTTATGGTCCTAGGTGTATCAGCGGGATGAGAGTTTTGAATCTGGTGTGCCTTATCTCAGTTCAACTGATGGAAACACAGCTGTCCTTGCCTGCATCTCTGCTGCAATGAGTTCTGCTTTCCTGCAGTGCAATGGGATCTGTAGGGAAGAGCCTTCCCCTTTTCTTTTTTCCCCCCCTTATTTCTGTACAAGTTTCAGGTGTATTTGACATCTTTGGTAGGGAAAAGAATACTTTTAAATGTTAGGAGTAGCTCCTGGGAATACATTTGGTTCAGTAGTTGATGTAAAGTGTCCAGTCAGCGTTCATCCGCTGGAGGATGGGCAAGAGAGGACCCAGATCCTGATGGGAGGGTGAAGCCTCCTCTCCAGGATGGAGAGGTGGCTCTCATGAGGAGGTGGCAGACAACTCCCTCTCTCCACTCAGAGCTTGCTTTTTCTTTCTCCTTCCACTCTGGGGCCCATCCAAAGATGTGTCAATGGGCAAATCTGCCTTTTAATTAGAAAGGACTGTAGATTTCCTTTTCAGAGTAGGGGACCCTACATTTTCTGCGTTGTCCTTGAGGGATCCTTGATGCTCCCCCTGCATCCCCTCTCTCCTCACTGTGTCAGGCACCAGGTCACTTTCTCAGGTGGTTTCCTTCCCTCCCACCCACTGCTCTAGGAAGAGTGTCTGCATTCAGCATAGCCACAGGAGCCCGCTCTGGTCAGCACGGCTCGCTCATCTAACTGTGACTGCAGCACACTGGATTGCTGTCCTCCACCATGAAATCTCCGAGTGAAGAAGCTCTGCACTCCAGGAACATGGAGCTGATACAGTCTGGAAAGAGGCAGTGGTGAGCAGCCACCATCTCCCTGCCCAGGTAAGCTAAATTTTGGCTGTTATTTCCTTCCCTGGAGAAGCAAAAACCAATTATGTGTATAAGAAGGGTCAGCGGAGAGTGCTTTGCTCTTTCTCTGCAAGGCAAAACTGTGTTCCTGGATTTTCTTAGGCTTTCTTGAAAACGTACCTTTTTCTATTTAATTTGAATGCATTCTAGCAATGTGTAATTAATAATATGGTATTGCTTAATTATGAAATTAATTCTGAAGTACATACTTGGGTTCCCCTGGGAGACAGACTCCAGCGGCTTTGGATTCAATTCTTCCTTTGAACCGAAGCCTAGAGAGAGAGGAAAGGCTCCATCAGTGTGTGCTTGGTGGCTGCCCTTGCCCTGGAAGAAAGCAGGCAATGGGGTGACAGCAGGGACCCCCTGGCCTGAGGACTGATGTGAGGGGGAAACAAGGATGGGGAGCACATCCTGGGAGCTTTTGTTTTTCCACCTACATCACTCCTAGGGTAAAACAAGAGCAGAGGCATTTCTAGGAGTGCCACCAAAATCTCTCCAAGCACCAACTTTGAGTCTCTTTCGGGAGTCAGCCCCCTTACTTGAGAACAGCATGCACAAGTGGAGGATGCCCCTGGAGGTCTGGGTTATTTTGCAAAGCACAAAAGAGAGAGGGTAAATAGTGTCAGAGAGCTACAGTTAAGTTATGGGAAAGTCTCATGAGTCACTCATGGATTTTAGCTCAGGACCCAAGCAAGGTATTTGGATGGTAGCAGCCTTGGGAACATGCATTTATGTCCTTGTGAGATGCACTGACTCACAGGGCGCACCATCAGGCTGGTGTCAGAAGGTCTGAAAATGCTGAACTTCACTCATGACTTGAATGTCTGGTGAGAGTCTTCTACAGTACAGCATCTCCTTTCCAAGCAAGGACAAAGAGCTGTTTCTTTTTGCTACAGCATGACAAGATTAAGGGGGTTTAGCTGGAATAATCCTCAGAAGAGACAGTAGTGATCAGACAAGCCCCAAACGGAATGCTCACCAAGAAAGCAGCTGGTCTAAAGAACATCAGAACAGCTTATTATTTTTGTAACTTGCACATTAATTTTTATAAGAAGAGAAGAGGAAAATTTCCTTAATTTTTCATCACCAAATTAGTTGAGGAAAGATTCCAGAGAGACTAAAAAGGTAACTTTAGAAAGTGTGAGCTTGATATAGAAAAAGGATGAGAAATTACTAGGTGCCACAGAGTTTGTCTTTCCACAGCAGCCAGCTGTGAGCAAGCCAAGTATGACAGCATCAGTGTATGTAAAGGGACATCAGGGAAAGTCACTACCTAAATATGATGGCAGGTGTAACAGCTCTTGACTCATGCACCACCTAAGCTGGTTTGCTGAAGGAATTAATGTCCAAGCCATAATAATGCAGAAAACTGCTAAGAAAATGGACGTAAATACCAGCTTCATGTCCCTCTGTCACTGTTCCTACTTCTATTCCAGTTAAGTTTAATAATCCACCCCTCATAATTGCCAAATGCAACCTCTTTAACTACTTCTACCTGCATGCTGAAAGCTGTGCATAGTTTTGGGTCAGGGGCCACATTTGTATTAAGTCTGAGTATGCACTACCTAGTGTAAAGCCGACCCGGTGCCTGATCCCTCACCAGGAGGCTATAGCACACTGCAGCATCTGTACAGGACAGAAATGTTGCTTTGGCTTCTCAGTTTTAAATTTAACTGCCAGTGAAGAAAGTTTCTACAACAGGGCACAAACAGACCTGCTTACAGCAGCACTGTGTGATTTCCCTCCACTTTGCTTGTCTCCAGGCATCTGCTGTTGCCTGTTGCTATAGCCAGGACATGAAGCTAGCTGGAGCACTGGGCTTGGCCTTGTACAGGAGCCCATGTGGTCACTTGTGAATGAAATAGGTAAAGGGCACAGAGTAGCCCTACTTTTTTTTATGGCAAGAGCTAGTAATTGCTTTGTATGTTTTGTTTGAGGATTTCCCTGGCTATGACTGGCCAAGTTAGGATAGCCCCAGGACTGGTGTCGCTTGTTACAGTGCACATGGTACTCGCAGTGCCTTCAGCCCTGCGTGCAGCCTCCCTGTGCTCCTGCCCAAGATTTGAAGAGTATACTTTCTGGACAGAGAATTGGGGCCCTTCACCTATCCTGACACTGGCTCTTGTGTCAGAAATTTCTCACCCCCACAGTTAGTGGATCTGGCCCTCTCCTGGAAGAGTGGGCTGGACCCATTCAAAAGTGGGCTGGCAAGCCAGACTCTGACTGGCCTCTTTCCTCAGGGCTGGAGCTGTTGTCCAGCATTTGCTGGCTTGTGCCTCTTGTCTTGCCCCTTGTTTGCACATCCCGGATGAGCTCCCAGGCAAGGAACAGGGCAGAGGGCTCCTGGTGGTGTGTGTTTGCCCACGGGAGGTCCATTTGGATGGGGGAAACATCAACAGTGGGAGGCAGAGTAGTGGTGCTGGGGCAGCACTGCCGGAGGCTAGCCACCTGTTCCTGCCTGAGGAAAAGTGGTGTGGAACAGAGGTGACACCAAACAGTTCTGTCCAGTGATATCTGTTACAGCAAACATTTCTTGCCTCTCTCAGGTCTGAAAGTCTTGCTGCCAGGGATCGAATCTGCTTTTGGCCTGAGGAAGGGCACAAAGCAAATCCTGTGCTGGCTTATGATGGGTTTATTTGACATGGAAGTTATGGGCAACATGACTTGGACCCGTATATGGCCTCTCTTTGTCAGCCACATGAATGGGAATGATTGTGGGTTTTTTCTTTTAAACCTGAGATAGTCAACAGCTTGCCTTCCTGGCTGTGTATGTTCCAGTACAGCCTTTAATTACACAGGCACATAATAGTTCCTCAGTAACAGACCAAAACCATGCTTCATCCTGTAGCCTGCATGCTGCATACCTCAATGTCCCAGCTTGGTATTCCCTATGTGCCATTCCCCCCCACCTTCTCTTACTTGCAGAACAGAAAGTAGGTGGATTTAACACTGTAGTAAAATTAGATATTAACATGTGCCATCCATTTTAGCAACTAAATTGCATATGGAAGCTAATTCATAGTTATTTGCCTCATGCATTCATCTGCATCCAATAAAATGCATATTCCTTTCCCAGGCATACAGCTGACATCAGCTTTGTCAGTATGAAAAACTCAAGTGTAGGCAGTGTGGCATTTTTCTTTTTTACTTGCCAGTGCAATTACTGGTTCTTGAAGGTTGTGGGTCAGCTGGCTGATTTGTGCTTAGTGGAACAACAAGGTCACCCACCAAATACTCTTCCCAACTAATTGGTGAGGTGGTCGGTCTCTGTGGGCCTCCCTGTTCTGCCAGTCCAATTTAATGTTGGTATTGCCATGGGAATTTCAACTTGCTGTATGGGCAGTCTACACCATGCTAATTAAAGTTCCCTTCACTGATTGTCACAGCTGTCTATACTGATTAAACTTCCCATTCATTTAAGGAAGACAGCAGTGCCTACATCCACGCCAGAAACCATTCCTTTGAAGTGACAATCTGAATTCATCAGACTTTATCGCACTGGTCTATGCTGGCACTTCAGTTGCTGAAAAACTATTAATACAACATCCCTTCCCCCATGCCCAACCTTTGATTACATTTAATGCAATATGTCGTTTTCTGCCTCAAAATATCCCTCTGCACCCCTGCTCCTAGAGCTGTAGCTTTTCCTGAGTAAGCACACTAATGGCTTAAGCTAAGGAGAGTAGAAACCCTTCCCCTCTGACTCAGACTGCTGGAGAAGGGAGAGCTGTTCCTGTTTGGGATGATGCAAATTTTGACTCAACAGCTACTATTGCTGACCCTGGATTCTCAAGCTAATGCATATGGGCTATGCTGCTCATTACAGCCTATGCAAGAATTGGTCATGCCTCAGCTTTGAGGCACTCCCTTGAACACTCAGCAGAGCCTTTACAAGGGCCACCAGCACAGTCCTCTCCAGCAACAAAACCGGTGACAGAAAAGACATTTTAGGTGGTCAAGCCCCTTGCAAGAGAGAGAGTACCATATCATGAATTGGCCTGTATCTTGTGTAGTCTGCTTTTTATATTCTCAAGTATATTTATATTCTCAAATATTGAACATGTAGAATCTGCAGTTGGTAACTCTTCCTGATTAAGGGTTGCACAAGTCTTGGTCTTGTTGCTACTAGAGCCTGCTACAAATATAGGGTTTTGTTCCCTCATAGTAATCATAAAAGTATTATCATCTCCATATTGTCAGTTTTAAAGGCTAAAATGTCAGAAAATTTCAATGATGCTCATTATTCTCTGTTTGGCTGAAGCCTTCCTTTTCTTATCCGAATATCTTCCCTAAGTACATTGTCATCAGAATAATCTGTATGCAGCTCTAACCTGTGATCCCAGCTCTGGCATTCTCAAAGTACCTTCTTATTTACAAATGGTTTTCAGTAGCTAGAACCCCTTTCCTGTGATATAGCTGCCAACTCTTTCCAGAGCTCATCTGTTCTGCTCCTGCTTTAGGTGGGAACTCAAGAGTGATGAGAGCACAGAATAATTTACTAATATGTAAATCATGTACCGTACTTATAATTTTAAATGCTGTAATTACTTCTTAAAATGAGATTGTTATCATCAGTGACATGGGCCTGATGAATAGAGAGATTTAGCTTTTCTCATGCATGATAGAAACCACTTATTCCCAGGCTAGTTAGTGGATGCTTTAAATATTTACCTGTGTCAAAAAGGCTCAATCCATGTTTCCACAAGTCTGTTTCCATTGCTTTTACACATGAAAGAGAAGAAAAACTATTACTGAAAATAGCAGAATTACTGGAAGTTCTGACTCAGTTTAGAAAGGTCAGTTCATACAATGACTTATCATAACAACTTAGCACCTGAGGAAAGCAGTAAACCCGGAAACCTTTATGCACACATTTCAAGGTGTATTTAGGAGCCTCATATCACTGTCTCCAGAACACTAATCTGTTTTTATGGTTTTATATATGCCTCTTTAGTTCTGTTTTGGTCTAGTTCCTCTAAACTGCATTGATACTGAGTCATGTATACTGAATTCAATATACTTTTATTTGTTTAGGTTGTTTTTCACTGAAAGTCTGCAAGTACCTCTCACCTACAGATTTCTCTATCCCGTCAGCCCATCCAAACACAAAGAAGCTGTCTTATTATTGCTTGCCATTTATCAGGCATGAAAAACTTCATCAAAATTGCTGCTTTTATAAGTAAACCCAAAAACGTCTCTGTTTTTGGAGCCTGCTGAAAAACTTTTCCAAAATGTGATGTTTTGCTCTGGGCTACAGCCAGATGAATGCCCTTGCAGCTGACTAGGACAAGAGCAGTTCCTGGGAACCACAGGAACAGAAAATGTAGCTCTATCAAAGACCTGATAGGCTGCACAGAGCTGGTGTGCTCTTGACTGGAGCCACTGGGTGAACTACAATGTAGGTCTGGAAAAAAATCATGCATGAGCTTGCCAGTGTCCTCCAGCCTAGCACGAGCACTGACCTTATCCTTAGGTTGCCTTCCCAGTGAGGAGCTATCAGCTTCTCTTTGGGAGGGAAACTTGTTGCATGAGACAAATGGCTGAGTAAAATGTGTGGTCTCCCTTAGGGTAGGAGGAACCCTGTCATGTTTCATTGCTAAGGTGATTTCCTTCCTTATGCTGAGCACTACTTGAACACCTTATGAAGGATCTAAAAACTGAGGAAAGCGAAGGACTAAGTCAGTCATGATGCACACAGAAGTTATGCTGTGATTTTGCTTAGGAGGAGAAGTAGGGTAAAGGAAGGGCAGGCCTGGGTAACAGGAAAGGAAACAGGAGGAATATTCCTATATTCCAGCAGTGTTGTTTGCCAGAATTTTGTACATCCCTCAGCAGAGTCATGAGGAAACAGCACTGACTGGAGCTAGGGCTGATGGTTGCTGAGCAGGAGGATCCTATCCACAGAAAAGAATTGGTGCTCATTTGTTGTCAGAGTGGACAACATGTCTCCTGAATGCTGTCACTGAGAAGAACAACAAATTTCAGTGGAACGAGCTTGTGAGCAGATAAACTCCAAAAGTGTGCCTCACCCTCCCAGGGTGGAGGAGCTTCCAGTGACTGTGAAAGAGGAATATTCATATGAAGCTACTTTTCAGCCTGATCAGCTGAAAAAAACCACAACAGCTAAAGAGCAAATTATGAAGAAGGCACTGCTCTTCTCAAGACTTATGTATGAATATGCTGCTGTGTGAGTTGCAGTCATAAACCTGCTTAAAGCAGTAGGAACTGTATGACACAGGGAACCAGCTGAGGAGCTGCATAAAGATCTGCTCATCTTTTCTCTTCTTGAAGAGGATCAGAGCAATGGAATGTGCCCATCCCATGTGTCACAGGTTTGTTTCTGCTGTCACCTCATTGCCAGGGTGTATCCTCAGAACACAGGCTCCTTTAACATCTCTGACTGTTTAAGTTCAAAAAAGACAGAGATGCTTTTCAGAAAGACAGACAGGTGCTGAAAAGGACTGTTTTTTGTCAGTATGACCGATGCTGAGGTTTTTTCTAATTTGCTTTTAAGAACTACTTCAACTCAGATGTCTACAGGTGCTCTAGTCTGTCCTAAATCCCTATGGGTAAGAGCTGTCTATTGTTTCTTTGAGCAGTCTTCTCAGTTCACCCATTTAAAACTTTCTGCAGTGAGAAAGCCCCTAAGTTTACTTTCTTAATGAAGAAAAACACTAGGTAAGTGCCAAGGATTTTTGGGTAGCTGGCTGCAAATATGCAGAATCTACAGCTTTCTGAGTGATCTCTTAATCCAGGCAAAAGCTCTATTTCTTGCATGTAGTCCTAGACACATAACAAAGAAAGCTGTCAGTGAAATACATATCTGAAAAGGAAATTATTATTCTTACAACTAGGGCTTTTTCTTTTTTTTTTCCCACTTGAAGATGCCCATAAAAAGAAAATGTTGATTTTTAAAATAGTTCAAGACTGGTCTTTAAAAAAAAAATAGACACCACCACCACAATACTTCAGAATGATTGTCTTGAAAAACATTCTGGGCTAAGTGAGTTTGGGATTTCAAGAGGGTTAATGTGCGTTGTCAAGAGCTTGGAAGAGTTTGAGACCTTCTGAAGAATGTGCAGTGAGAAGCTGCACAAGCGACTGGTGTGTGTTGGGGAAGGTGTTTTCCCAGCACAGTCTTTTGCTAACCTGAGCCAATGACAGGAAGTTCCTTGAGAGCACAGCCAAACTCCCAGAACTGATTGCTGTTTTTTTGCAGAGCAGTGTGCACAAGCTTGGTAGGATCAAGAAAAACAACTCCTCTTTCCAAGAAAGCATGGACTTGTTCAGGAATTTCCCTTTGATCATTAGAAAAATTTGCTGCTTGAAAGCAACAGATCTTAACTGCCAAAACCTGTGCTGAAAAAAGGATCAGGACACATTGGGAATAAGACAAGTATGTGTTTGTGGGTTTTTTTCCTTCTTGTTCAGTGATGAAGAAAACAGAATAATTTATGATGGGAAATTTGTGCTTTGTAATCACTTTGGGGAGACCTCAAGGTGCCTTAAACAATTAGATGGGATCAAACACTGACTTTGATTTAAATAAGACTTAGGACTATTCCGCTTTTGGCTAGCCTGAGAATTAGCCAGCACATCCTTTGGTCCAGATGTTAGGGCTTTTTATATTTCAGCCTGACAGAAAGGCAGGTCTGCTGGCCAGGCTATCCTCACCCTGTATGTGGTGCCACATAATTAGTGCATTGCCATGACTGGCATATATACAGGTAATGTATTTGCTCTGCTGTTCAGCTCAGGAAAATACTGCACCCCTGTTTCCCCTCTAAAGCTGGGCACTGAATTTTGAAAAGAGCAAACAGAACGGAGGTAGCACAAAAAATGTGAGATTAGAAAAAAAGAAATGTCTATGACATCAGTATGGCCAAAAAGAATAAGAGAAATATAATCACAAATGGAAACCAGAAGGAAGAGATGGAGATTGAAACAAGGGCAAGTTGAAAAGTGAGGTAACAGAGTAAATCTTAGGAGAAGTGTATCCATTTTAAATATGCTGCAACAAGATCAACTACAGATGTCATTTTGGTGGGTAAGTTTACTTGACTGGTCTTGTCCAGAAGGTCTTACTGCACAACAATGTCCTCTAACCCCAGTATGAATGACCACTTGGCTCTTTCCCATTGCTTTACACCTCCTGTGCTTCTCAGCTCTCACCAAAGCCCTCAGGGCTCCAGGGACACCTTCATGTCCCACAGCCTCTCCCTCCCCAGGAGGTTTGGTTGCCCATGCTAGAGGTCAGCTGTGCTGCAGCACAGCTCTTGTCTTGGCCAGGGCTGCGTGTGGAAAAGGCTGTGGGAAGCATTCATGGGACACTATGGAAGTACACACCCTCACCTTTGCTCCTTGTACCTGTGCCCAGTCTTGTACCTTGCTATCCTGATCCTGACCTTGCCTTGCTGATCTGATGCCCTGCCTCAGTTGGTCAGACCTGTCTCACTGCTGGAGACTGGCCTGGCAACCTGGGCTGTTGAGTGATCCTGGGTAGCACCACAGGACCTGCTCTGCTGCTCTTGTTAGGGCTTTGTGAGTCTGTGGCCCTAGTTGTTGAGGGGCAGCCCTGTCTGCCTTGATGCCACCCCAGCTCTCATCCCTCACGCTGCTCTGAGAGCTCTGGAGCCCCTGGGAAAATGTTAGTGGCTTTGAAAAGTGCCTGCTTACAGGGCTGCTTGCTGGCAAAGGGTCACTTGCACTGCTAGGAAGGCTGAACATATAGGTGATGCTCCTACCCCCAGTATTAAAAGCAACCTCTACCTTCACAGTCAGTCTAGAGGTTCCAGGGAACCACAGGAACAAAAGATTTAGCTCTATCAGAGACTTGATAGGCTTCACAGAGCTGTTTTTTTTGTTTCTCGGTTTGACTAACAAATAAGGAAACTTGCAAACACTTCATAGATGTTGATTCCCACAGCCTGATACAACAGCTCACCAGTGACCAAGCCTTCCTTTGCCTTTTGCATTCAGAAAGCTGCTAGTTGGCATTCAGTGCATGAGGCTTGCCCTGGTCCTCCTCCAGGATACATGAGAACAATCTGCAGTACAAGGGCTAAATTGGGGTCACTTAAACTATAAAAGAGAGTAGAAAATCTGCTGCTAGCAGTCTTGCTCACCCAGGTGGGCTGAAGAGCCAGCAGCCCTCTGGAAAGTGGCGACGGGCTCCTGGCGCTGAATACCTGTGTGATCCGATAAAGAGGTGAGAGATTAGATGCCAATGGGTAATGAGAGAGAAGCAAGATCACAAGGGATGCAGTGGTCCCAAAGTGTCTTTCTGCACATATTTTCAAACCAAATGGAAAAGGAAGATGGAAACTATGAAATAAAAACCCCCAACAAAACACAAAACAAAACAAAAACTTAGAAGATGAAAGAGGTTGGCAAAAAAGTTTAGATGTCCGTAGGTGCTGCATAGTCCAGCTATTAGCTGGTGCACTGGAACAACTGGTAGTGTGTTCTGGGATGCTGATCATGCTTAGGGCCTGTAAACTGAAAACACATCTCCTCTCAGGGTCAGGCCTTCATCCCCAAACGTAAACAGCCACAAAGTTTCCCTCTCATTTTGCAACAGCAAATGTTCTAAAAGACCTTTACAAATGGTTTAGCATCCTATTTTGAGAACAATTCTAAGTTTAATCAATCCTGTTTCATTTTTTTCTGTAAGTTACACCATTGTCATGCAACGACCAGTGTGTTATCTGTTCTCACTGCTTCCTGCTATGAACATGGTTAGGAGGGAAAAAACAGTGCATTACTGTGTGACTTGGTAGATGTGAGTGGTGGAACTATCTACAGGGAGGAAACAGAGGCAGATTGTAATGTCTTTACCTGTATTGTGTCGTAAAATATTCCTGTTACTTGCAGAGGTGGAAGTGCCCCTGAATGCTTTGAAAATATGTTATTGGTTAGTACATGGAACTTAAACACAAGTTTTTTTGTATTCTAGCAATGCGAATCTACTGGTTATTGTTAATTTAAGACATACCTGTATTTTGTCCTCTTCCTTGTGCAGCCTGAACTTGTCCTAAGGAGAAATGAAAATGGAAAAGTGTGTTTTATCCCATGTTTGGTTCAACATTACTACTACCTGTCTTTTTTACTGTCTCATTTTATAGCTGTCAGAGTTAATGGTTTGTATATAGAGTTTTCACTAATAGACTTTCTCAGATGTTAACTATATATTTTGAGCCTGCTTAAAAAAGGATTGCCTTGCTCTGTCTGTGATATGGATTAGTCTAGTTGATGTTCCCTTCAGTTATGAATATTACTTGTACATGTCTCTGGTTTGCATTTAAAAGGTTTGTGGTTACTGCTGTGGTTTGCTTTCCCTTATAACTTTCCTTCTCACTCATACTGGTTATTCATGTTTATTTCTATTTGAATACCATCTAATTATCCTGGTTGTGTAAGAAAGGTTTTAACCCCAAACCCAAAACAACCCCCCAGACCAGATAGTTCCTTTCTGCAGACAGTAAATGGATATGAGCAAGCAGGCAGACTGTAAATAATGAGACAATGAAAAAATAATGTGGGAGAACTCATGTCTTTGAAATGTCTTCTACACAAAAGGCTTTTTAAAAAGGTGATTGGGTTATTAAATTCCCATTGTTCAAAAATACTAAAGGCTCAAAGCATTTGCAGTTGAAAACCATGTCTTTAATCTTGCCTTTCATTTCATTAATTATTCTTAAGAAGCTTGTTAACAAATTTATTCTTTAACAAGCCTTTATTCATTAGTTTTCCCAGAAAGATTAATTCCAAAGCCTGGTGAAATCAGTGGGAATGTTCTAGCTGACTCCTGTGAACAGGGGTCTGTGAGATTATTTTATCAATAAGATGTCATCAATGAGACCATTTTGAATGGTTGTCTTAGAAAACAGGAACTGCTGTTCCTTGGGAACTTGATATTGCAAAATTAGGTGACAGAAAATAGCTTGTGTTTGACCTAAACTTGAACCTTCCAAGCCACTAGAAGCCCTTTGATGGGATTTCTAGGAGCTGTCCTGAGAGACCTTGTAAACTCCAGATGCCAAAGAGATCCTGTGTAAGGAAATAACAGGGTCATCTGCCAAAACTGGCAAGGCTTTTAAACTCTGTAAGCTTGTAAGGCTCCAGATGGACCACAGCTAGACCAGGCCAAGTATTCAGACTGCAGAGGGAAAAGTCTCTATGTAGCAGCCAGTGTTGTATGGGATTGTGCAGGGCATGTTTTCCACACAGGAGATCAGTAAGTACCAAAGAGGTGGTAGAAAATTAACTTTGAGCCTCAGAGCTTGCCTTGTTTCACGTTTGCTGCAACCCAACCTGAATGTGTATCTAATGCTCTTTACAAGGTCAGTAGAAACAGAGTACAAGAGGGCAAGAAAAAGATCAACTCAGTATCCAGGTATTTTATGTCACTTTTTAAATTAATTAACCCAGCCCTCTCAGCCAGTAACAGCCTTGGAAAATGTTAGTGCTTTTTTGTTTGTTTGGGGGTTGTTTGTTTATTTTGTGGGTTGGTTTGTTTGGGGTTTTTTGTTTGGTTTCATTTTTCTTTTTTTTTTTTTTTTGACTAAATGATTGGTCTTATTAAAGGCACCTGAATTTGACTTAATGATGCTTTCCTACAAGACCTGACTTTCTCAGAAAATATCTGCCCTGCCTTGTGTTTGGCACTGAATTATGGGGCAGCAGGGGTGACTGCAGATACGTATGTGAGAGCAAAGCTGAGCTCAAAGCACTCAGAAAAAAGGAGCATAAAACCTAATGACGGCCCAGCTCCCTTTTCACTCATATCCCCATGCTCAGAAACTTGCAAACAGTTGAAAATATTCTCCTTTACTTGACTGTACAGCTGAGCAATTACACACTGTATGGGAAAACACCTCTAAATACTTGTGGTGGGCTGGAATGGGAGCAGGCTCCTGGACTGAGATGCAGAGCTCTGAGCAGCCACCACTCTGCTGTCAATAACGAGTGGCATGCCAGGAATAACTTTACATTTATGCCAGGCTCAGAACCACAGCCTGAGGTTTTTGACAGAGCATTGGTTTAATGTAAGTTGGCATTTCAGAGCCCTCAGCCCTAAGTTTAGATGGCTATGCAGCCCTCTGCACTGTGTATCTTACAACTAAATCGAGCCTCCCTTTGAGAGAGTATGACAGACGGAAGTAACAGATAAACATGATTCAAACAGCACAGTCTTTGTCTCAAGTGTTGTGAAACCCAGTTTTGTCAATGCTGAAATGCACAGATATTCACTAGGAAGGCTTCCTCAGAACTGTGGGTGATCAGCATCTCTGACATTCAGGCCAAGCATCTGGTTTTCAGTTTAAATCCAGACTTAGATTCAGTCATTGAGTTTGCTGAGGCTTGAAAGGTTATTGAATCATTGCTGCCTTGAAATACACTGTGCTGCATGCCTTGTGGCATACTTACTTCACCATACTTACTTGATGCTGCAGCTACCACAGATGCATATGCTGGGTGGACACTGCTAGAACCTAAAAATAAGAGATTTTAATTTTCAGCCACTGAAGCAAAAAACTACACTGTTAATGAATAATAAATGGAGAAGGAAAGATTAAGGAAAACCAGTTGTGCAAAAATCATATGAGAATTCCTTTACAATGTTTCAATCTTTAAAATTCAAAACCTGTTATAAAAATATATTACAACTTTGAAAGTTGGACACTGCTAGAACCTAAAAATAAGAGATTTTAATTTTCAGCCACTGAAGCAAAAAACTACACTGTTAATGAATAATAAATGGAGAAGGAAAGATTAAGGAAAACCAGTTGTGCAAAAATCATATGAGAATTCCTTTACAATGTTTCAATCTTTAAAATTCAAAACCTGTTATAAAAATATATTACAACTTTGAAAGTTATAAAAAAATGTAAAATTCATTCCTATGTGTTGAACTCTCAGTCTAGACCTGTGACTCAAAGAGCTATTGGTTGACTTCTATATCTATATTCACAGCTTTGGGGGTTGGAGAGTTTACTTCCCACATGAATTAGTTTATATGCTAGTATATTATATCTAAAGACTAAGCATAAATTTTGCTGCAGATGAACTCTCACCTCAGAAAATCTACATGTTTGTGTGTATGTGAGATGCACTAATTTTGTATGTGTCTCAAAGGCACAACTCCAACCCCAGCCCATCTGCCGAAATCAAATTTTTCTTCCCACTCCTAATATTTCTACATTGAATTACTGAATTCATAATCCTCTAAATCACAGTATATCCAGCTGTATATCTTGTTCCTTAAAGTTTAGGAAAGCGGTCAGCCAGGAGGAAAGCAATGCAAACATCCATGCTACTCACCTGTATCTCTGACCCTGTGCAGTCCAGGTTTAGTCTTGGCTGCAGCTGCTGTGGTTGTGGTTGTTGCAGGTGTTGTGGTTGGCTGTGGCACTGTGGTGGAAGGATCTGTCGTCGTGGTCGTTGGCGTTGGGGTTGTGGTGGCCATTCGTGTGGCTGGTGTCGGCACTGGAGATGTCTGATAGTCTTTGCGGACTACGTCCCCTGTAGGATCATTGACATGGTCACTGTAGCTTGATGTGTGACATGCATGGAACCATCATCAACACACTCACTGTTTAAGGCAGTCCAGAAACTGACATTCTCATTCAGGATGCCTACAAGCGTCTTTGTCTGCGGAGCCATTAGTGCCTTCATTGCTGTGTGGATGTGTAGCACAGGTGCCTGTGTGACACACTCACACTGCTCTCAGAGGGTGCTGACAACAGCTTGTTGCAGCCTTAATGTTCCCCCTATGCTTTTCTGCTTTGGTCAGGGAATGCTTTTCAACCTGACAGATGTCTCAGACCTGTGAATGGTTCAACCAGCCAGCTGTAGTTTCTGTTTTGCCATCATCTTCTCCAGTGTAATTAAGCACTCAGAAAGTCCATATAAATGGTAATCAACTGGCATCTGGTAGTACAAGATGGCCAATCTGAGTCATAAGACAGAATAAAATATGTGTTACCCACCACAGCACTGAAATGTTTTTGTCAGAAAGGCAATTTTCAGATAATGTTGATTTGGGGAGCAGGTCAGAGCCAGAGCAGGGAGCATTAGACTCCATTCAGCCTAATGGCTGAAGGGAGCGGGGGAGAACACCACCTGGGAGGTACTGATCTCATCTAACTTTGACTCATCTCACAGTTGCTACTACTTTTAAAATGTATCATCTGTTGTGAGAACAGAGACATTCTAGTTGCAAAATTTGCATCCTAAATATCCTTAAAAAATTGTTAACATGCTTAAGTTTCTTCAAGTAATTGTCTCAAAAAAAGATCCTTCACTGTTATCTTTTCCTTCTATCTACAAGAAACTGCCCTAAAATATATGCCATGTTAACCTCAGTCTTGCTCCTCTCCTGCCTGCCCATAGCCCTGAGAATGACCTGACACACTGTCTACACTGGCAGGGAATGGTGTGCACTCTATTCACTGCTACAGAACACAAGCTTGAATTTTATTGCTATTGCTGGACATTCTCCTTTTGGAAAGCATCGTCATGAAACTGTCTGGTGGATAATTACCACCTAATGCTAGGCAGTGAAAAACTCAGATCTCAGGCAAATTTAATGGGATAATGCTGAAAGAGAGCTCAGAAGAAAACCAAAACAAGTCAGCTGAAAAAATCAGTATGAATGGCTCTTTTTGGGCTGAAACAGTGCCCTGCTCCATGATGCTGTGCTAAAAGAAAGAAGACAGAGGCTTCCCCTATGATCTGGTGCTGCTGGAATGGGGAGCAGGCACATCAGCCAGCTTTATACCCCAGTCTGTGACGAGCAAGGAAGCTGGGAGCTAACAGTATTAGCACAAAACCCAAGGAAGCAGCATAGTAAGAGCAGAGAAAAGCTGTTGCCTTGGTGCATGTTGGCAGGGTTTCTGGTGGATCCTTTAACGCAGGAGGAGGGCTCCCAAGGGCTAGCTATTCCCAGTGCTCCTGCAGGCAGGGTGCCCATCTCTCACACAGTATCTTCAAAGAGTTTTCAGGGCACGTGCCCTGCATAGGAGATTGCCAAGAGCCATAATACAAGCTTTTGAAGTTCACAATACCTAAGCTCACCCAAAGCACAGGCAGAAATTAAACTCTGAGGGTGCCCTCTTCTCTGAATTGGCAGATGTCCTTCGAGAAACCTTTGCAGGTGCTCACATAATGGGGTTGGTTTGGTGGGAAAGGGGCTGTAGAGAGGAGGTTGGTTGGATAATGTAAAGCTGTATGTATTACCATTGTCAAACTGCTTCCTCTAAGTATCTGCAAGCAGATTAGGCTGGGATGGATACTGTCAAAGAGCAGCAAGATCACCAACCCTTACCTTGTTCCGATGCTTTTTCTGATGCATTAGCAGTATCTGCATTCTTCGTACCTTTTAGGTCTTGCTCTGGCTTTTGAGGCTCTGGAGAAAAATTGAGCTCATTAGAAAAGGCAGCTCTGCAAGAAAATAATCTAGAGTCTCTCATTTAGAGATTATCAGTACCCCAAAGGAAGGCAACCCATCACATGACTTTATGTAGGTCAGCCAGTCTAACCAGAGCTTTATCACCAAGCGAGAAAAAGCAATGACTGGGTGCTCTAGAGAGTAGTCACCCCATACATTTGATGCCAAATTTAAGCATTTTTACTGCTCAAAGCTCCTGCCAGGATCGATAGAATTTCTGAAGTGAGCAATAAATATGGGAGTCTACCACTAGTAAGTCAATACTAATAAGATTAGTGTATCATGTTGTTGATTTTTTCCTCTGAGTAGCAGCATGTCCTGAGAATCAGGGTCATGGTATGTGTAGGGTGTTTGGAGAATACCAGCTAATGTGAAATATTTCAGTCACTAATCCATGTTCAGATGTAGTTCTTTCTTGCCTGACATTTTCAGATTTTTTCAGATCAGATCCTGAATGTCATGGACTGGCTTAGAAGGAAAAGGGAAATATTTTGATTTTTTTTCTCTTCTAAGACCCAAAGTCATCAATATACTTGGAACACTTACTACAGTTTATTTACTGCTACCTTGCAAAAGAATCTGCTTCTGCTTTTATGTCTGACTGAGTACTGGAAGATTTTGTTCTTCCTTTTTTTTTTTCCTTCTCTAGCTATTTTGGCAGCATTGAATTATTTGAGAAGTGATAATGGTTTCCTAAAAATTCATACTATTTTTTAAAACAGTATCTTTTAATTGTTTTTACCCACTGTGAAGAGTTGCATCTTTGGGAAGGTTTTTCTTGCTGTGCCCAGCATTTGAGAAGCACTATAACCACCAGCAGCATTTAAAGAAACATCAGGCACTATGAATCTCTGGCATCCCTGGGATGAGGACCAGAATTGCATCTCTGACAGCTGGTCAGGTGTGAAGCAGGATTTTTTGCTCATCTGGCAGCAATTGAGTGTAATACTCAAAGGACTGCCTTTACCTCCTACAGATAATGGATTTAAATAGCCAAGTGAACAATGTGGTCTCTGTAATTCGAATTAGAAGAGAAAAAGTAGCTTTCTTAAAATTGAAAAATACGTAGGAAATCCTCTATCACCAGACAGCCCTGGCACCATATTACAGGGATTTTTATCTTAAGAACAAGCTGTTTCTAACAGAGAACAGCTGAGATGGATGGGCCAAGGTGGCAGTGCTAAGGAGGGCTGACAGGTCCAGGTGAGATTTGGGGAAGATGGATTGTTGCCTATCAGATCTCTTTGCTACCTGTGGGACAGGGCTGGGCAGCACCAGGCAGTGGCATCCTCAAGCATTGGGTTTGATGTTACATTAATTTGCTCCTTTGATAATCTTAGGTTTTCTCTGCATGAATGCACAGTCTTTGTCATTAGCATCCTAGCATTTTCATTCACACTGATTCAAGAACAAAGTGAAGGAAAATGCTTGTGGCTTTGGTCTGCTGCAGGAACAGGCTCAAGGTATTTTGTTTGCACCACTGAGCCACGAGTTGAGGTTCCCCATTTCTATGCTGATTCTCATAGCATTGGTGATTTAGCACTGGTGGAAGACATTGTTGCTTGCAGCCTGTTGAGCTCAATCCTAGCTGTGATTGTCTGTAGTCTGATGTGAGATATTTGGGCTGATATTTCAAGTGTGGGTACATTTGGGAATGATGAGCTGTGGTTTCAGTAAACATTTCTTAGAAAAAGCCGAGATTTTTAAGGTATTGCCTCCTTTCTAGCAGTGCATAATATTTAGGTCAGTAATTTTTGTGTATCTGGTCAAGATATATACAAATCTGTACCTATTTGATTCTAAAGACCAAGGTATTACAAATTAAAGGCATGGCATTGAGTGATGCATATTTGGTCTGAACAGCTGCAACTTTCATACTTAAATTTGCCCTTGTTCAAGTGAAAGCCTAAAGACAAAGGGCTAATGAAAGGTCTAGAGCACAGGTCTTAAGAGGACCAGATGAGGAAGCTGAGGTGTTTTAACTGGGAGAGGCTTAGGGGGGACATTATTGCTTTCTACAACTACTTGAAAGGAGGTTGTAGCAAGGTGGGAGTTGGTCAAGAGGAAATGGGCTCAAGTTTCTCCAAGGGAGGTTTAGATTGGGTATGAGGAAGAATTTCTTCACAGAAAGGGTTGACAAGCATTGATGTTGTCTAGCTCATTCCCTGGTCTGCCCAGGGAAATGGTGGAGACAGCATACCTGGAGGTATTTGAAAGATGTGTAGATGTGGCCCTGAGGGACATGGTTAATGGTGGACTACAGTGCTGGGTTAATAGTTGGACTTGACGATCTTAAACCTTAACGTTGCCATGATTCTATGAGGAAAGAGCTCTGTACTTTGCTTCCAAGGACCAAACAATAATGTACAGAAGAGAAGTCTCCAAGTCTCTTGGCATGTACCCACTGACAGATATTCCAGTTCATGGAGAAGGTACAGCACATTTTGTTACACCACAGCTCACAGTGGCTGTGCTCAGGAAGGCTCAGCTCAGCAATCAGCAAAAGGGCTGTGTTAGGGAAGTGTGTAGTAGTGTGGGACATTAATTTCATTTTTGGTCATAACCCCAAGGGAAGAGTCTGAACCTTACACAGTTGTTACAGGGAGCACAAACAAGGGTCATTTCAGTGACAGAGGCATCTCACATGCACTTGAATATCAACTACCACCCTGTGTGAGACTTGATCAAAATGAAACCATCTCTGAAAAACAACTAAATTACTTAAAATGAATTGGGTCTTACAGAGTAGGATGCTGAATAAAATGGTTATACAGAGTACTTTTTTATTGTAGCATCCTTAGCTAAAGCTGCTATGCATTGCTGTCTGTGTCATTAGTATTATATTACTATTTAATATTATACTCTCAGCACTGAATATCCCAAGAGAGAACATGAATAACATCAGGAGAAAGTCAATATGTATAACCTCAAATGCTTTCATATAACCAATGCAACATCATATTCAGTAGCAGATCTAAAGCAAGGGGTAAACTGCTTGGAAACAGAATTCTGTGAAACATGGTATGACCAAAACCCAGAAATTGTCTGAGATGATTTCCATATGCTTAACATAAAAAAAATACTATGAGTGATTTGGATGAGATGCTAAGGGATGCATGAATTTCTGGCTGAATAAATCTATCTTTGTATTACACAACCAAGAAGCTCTAACAGATAGTTGTGAATGGATGTAAGGGAAAAGAGGTCACAATTACTTGCCTGATTTAACAGCTGTGCTTTTTGAAGAGGCATATTCAAGAGTTGAAGGATATGTCACACCTTTTCTTGGCTTGCCCTCTACCAAAAAAAAATAAAATTATTAGAAGGCATCACAAAATATTCTAGGTTTTTTTGCAATAAAGTTCTCATCTAACATATGCATTCAGAATTAGATTCCTCTTCTTTACTGCCCAACTCATTTTCATGAAGATTTCTTTCATGTGATGGCAGAATATCAAAACCATACCACTAAAAATACCAGTGCCTAAATCCAACATCGTAAAAAAGGGTTAGAAAGCATGAAAACACAGTCCTGGGATTGTGAAGAGGTCAGTTAGTTCATTCCTTTTCTCTCCAATGATATTAAGCACAAGGGGACCATTTTTGAAGGACATCTGTATGACTTGTACTTAAACCCTCAGCTTCCCTAGGCAGCCTTTTCCAGTGCCCGACTATGCAGCTGACTTAGAAAGCATGTTTGATGTGGGATTCATTTCATCACGCACACAGCATTCTTCTCTGACCTCACTTCTGCAAGATGCCATTTCTGGCAACAGTCTTTTGCAGTAATAACAGTGAGAGAAGGCTGTGCTTGTGTGTGGGAACATATGGTACCTCTATTTAGATCTAAAATGAGGGTCCTGGCTTAAAACAATGAGGTATGTTTCCCAGTTCAGTTTTAAACCACAAAAGTTTTTAGTGCCACAGCAGATGCCATCTCTATTGGTACATGTGGCCATGCAATTTCATATGTTGGGACAGCTTTTATATTCATATATGTCACTGTATGAAATGTGTTGCAGAGATGCCCAGTATAGGGAAGACTGCTCTGGCCCCTAGGAGTTGGTAGATGTAGGATTTTCAAATCCTGGTGACTGTTTCTACAAGATGCTGTACTGTGTCATGTATCTGTACCACCTCAGGGGAGACCTACTGCTACCTCCTGCAAAACCTGAGTCATGATGGTCTTTCTTTTATTTCCTTGGTAAATTCTTTGAGTAGGTACATATGGCACAGCAAGCATGTCAGTTATCATCCTGGGTGACTAATTCAGAGACCAACAGTATGGAACAGAATTAATTTCTAGAGACTGAGCCGTCCCTGGGAACTGAGGACAGTTTTCCCTGTATACAAAGGAAGGTGTATGTCAGAGGAACTCTGTGAGCAGGGATGGCCGTGGAGCTGGAGAGTCTCTGTCCTGTGTCCCTTTTCATGTTTCTATCTCCTTTGTTTTACTCCTCTCTGAAATGTCAGATGTCACTACAAAACCCTCGGTGAAGAAATTAGAATTACTAACAAGGCAATGATGCAGGAAGCTACTCCATTTCTTATGTACTGTAGTATAAACCGAGAGCAGCTCCACTACAGTCAACATTGATCCACCAAAGACCAGAGCTGGCAAGTTAGTGTGCACAGACAAACTGGAAAGAACTTCCTTCTTGCCTACAGGATTTCTCTCACAGAAGCTGGTCTAAGTGAAAGGCAGCTGGTTTTCACATCCACTTCCCCCTGAGCTAAAACTGGAATCAGGAGCCAACTAGGACTAGCTCTTCTATCAATTTGTTAGAAAGACAGAAAAGTTCCAGGATTACAAATGATTTCTAATGCTTTTTAAAAATCCCTAGCAGAGGAAAAGTTGTCAGGTATGAGCAGCTGATACATGGATACAGCAATAGCATAATAACCTGATCTTAATTTAGAATATTTCTGCACTAATCTGATTTCTAATGCAAACCTGAAGCCTGCTGCTGTGCACATACACCAGCTAGTGTGGGGAGGCTGGCTGCCCCTGCATTCTGGGGTTTCTGATCAACAGCAATTTGCATCCCATAGGTGACCAAGAGGTAGGTCTGAGGTCTGACCTGCATGTGCCCCTGCTCTCTGGAGCAATGGTAATATATCTATCTTTTTCACTATTTGGAAAAGGTTATATCTAAGATGGAGTAGCTTAACATACTTAAAACGTGTTTACATTTGGGCTGAAAAGATCAGCTTTGGCCACTGAAATACAAGCTGTGGCATGGTGGCTTCTCCAGCATGGTGGCTGCTCACCCTCTCACACTTACTTGTGACTAGCAAACCCAGAGGTTTAGGACTCTATTTTCTTAACTCACTAGCTGCAAAACTGAATGGAGTCATTCAAGTGAGTGCCAAGGCATTTCAGCGCTTGAAAGTGAATACCAAGGAATTTGCATACCTCCTGGTGTGCTGGCTGCTTTAATTCCAGAGGATAGACCTCCTTCCCCACTTCCCTTAAATCATGCCACTTCATTGCCTGGGTCCCCCAAGGATCCCTCTTCTGTGTCTTTTGTGCAGATGCTCATTCACAATTTATACATTACAAACTCGGTGACAATATCCTAACTAGGAATAAACTGTTGGCATATGTCCAGGGTATGGTACTGCATACAGGTCTGGTCTGCTGAAAGGGAATTCAGCTGGAGAATAGGGGGCTCAGTTCAAGTGCTAAAGCTATCCTGAAAGTAAGGCCTTAGGCAGCTTTGTATTTTTATTGGGGAATACCTTATGCAGCTCTGTCTCTTTTGTGACTCATAATTGCAAAAAAAATCTCAACAACCTCAACTTATCTCTTTCTGAGAATGAGATTTGTCTGCATTCAGCCTCAGGCTGCTGAGATAAGTAGTACTGCCTTCTTGGGGTTTCAGTCTTCTAAATTTCTCTAAAATTTTAAATTTCCCACATTTTCAGTAGCTATAATGAGAGTTTTCTTCCTATTTACATATGAAACATGATATGACACTTTATATGATATGCTGGATTTACATCTGTGATAGTTTATAAACTAAGTAGTTCCACTGACATCAGTGAGTGCATTAAGCATGCATAAAATTAAGTGCATGAGGGACAAATCTCATCATGCCTATACATACCCAGATTTGTCATCATCTGCTTTTGCATGTGCTTGTAACTTTCTCTTGTATCTTCTTTTATAGTGTTTCATTAATTAACAGGAAAGATTTATTACCATAAATCAAAAATTCCTACAGTTTTATGGGATAACAACTGAGCTGTTGCTGAGGTTAAAGTCTTTTTTTCCCATTTATGTACCAGAATTACAGTGTGCTGTTCATTGGGCAAAAAACTGCAACAAGTACAAGTAGCAATTCAGTTATTCCTGGAAATTCCTACTCATCCAGCATAAATCCTTCTCATAAGGTGGTGTGCTCACGGCAGACTATGGTAAAAAGTGCATCCAAATACATGAATGCAAAATCGAGATGAGTTTGTTTTGATCAGTTTCTGAGACCTCCTTTGCTGTCTACAAATTTTCACATGAAAAGAACATCTCTGTATTTTTAGTGGCTGTTCATTTGCTTGAGCTGCTGATCTTTCCAGGAATTACCTAACATCAAATGTACCTATCTTAAACTTCCAAAGTACAGACCAGAAAGACCTGACCCACTGTATGGATGCAGCAAGAAGTTACATTTAGAAATGGTATGTCAAGCAGACCTTCTTTCACACAGGTAGAATGAGTGCAAGTAGGTGTAAAATAATCCAAAGCTGGTGTAAAGGGGATCTAATTTTAAAAAAAAACCAAAAGCCACCTGTCAATTTTGTCAGTGAATGCAAGTGAGCTCCTGTATATACTGTGGGGAGAAAAAAGGAATGAACATTCAGATGAATTTCCCTGCACTGAATAGATGTCAAAACTACTTGGCTAACAGAGGTGAACTCCTAAGATACTTGGGATGCACCAGTCGAATTGCTTAATACAGGGTTTGCATGCATACCATATGGCTATATGTGGCTTGAGATGGTCTGACAGAGGTCACAAGTTAGCAAACTCAGGTGCAGGCTGAGGATGCTTCAAATGGCAAAGGGCCTTTCAGTTTTCTCAGCAGTATTACTTACCAGGGTGGAGAGCAATAGAAAAACCTCACAGTGAGCGCTAATGCTCAGATTTTATGCATCAATAGCCAGAGTTAAGGTGCCTTCAGAGAGTCTATGCAGAACACCTATCACCTCCTGCACTGGGCTCATACCCTCACTGGGCTGAGCTGAGCACACCTCTGGCAGGGTGTATGTATCTTTGTGGGCTATATAGGAAGCCCAGAACAAAAAGTGTTTCAAATGCATTACGAATGCTAAAGCTAGGTGGGGTGGGCCTGTGGTGATGTCATGGTTTAACCCCAGCCAGCAGCCAAGAACCCTGCAGCCACTCACACTAACCAGGTCTTTAAAATTAGAGGGTGCTTCCCCCTCCGCCCATTTCTGCCCTGCTGCTGGAGCAGGCAGGAAGGGCAGGAAGCTCCAGTGCTCCAGCCCAGAATGGTACCTGACACGAGGAAGGACTCCCTCCAGCGTGGCAGTGACAGGGACCTGACCCCGTTGGAGAAGCTCCCGCGGTAACCAGAGTGGCCAGCAACTTTCTGGACAAGGATCTTCCCGCCTGTGTTATCAATTATGCCACTGCAAAGAGAAAACATGGTGTCTGAAGGCAGAAATTTCACGAAAAACTTAGAAGCTGCTCTACAATACAAGAGGTATGGAGTGCTTGCCTTTCCCTTTAAACCAGGAGCAGTAGTGGGGCTGTGATGCTACTACTAAGTCTGCTTCTAAGAAGTATTTGTGCTTCTTCCACACAGAGAAGAGCAGTTTGTTACAAAGTGCTGTCAGGATCTGTTTGCTCTTCCCACTGATCTACTGGTCCTGTGTTTAAGCTTGACCTAGTTGCACACAAGAACAAGCTACTGCCTTCGTTAAAATTCCTGCAAGCTTGATTGAGTGACTGAAGATACAGGGATTGGTACTCGGAGGAATTTTTGGGCCAACCATGTAACAGAAATATAATTTGAGGGCAAACCCCCACTTTCTTGCCTGGCAGTAATGACTGTGGAAAAAAAAAGTAATGGGCAGCAGTGTTGAAGAATATGTTAGAGCTGTAGCTTTCTCTGATGATTGCAAGAAGCTGCTGTTAAAATAAATGTACGACAAAGAAATTCACGGTCTGTGGAAATGCCATAAATAAGTTAACAAGGCCAAACCCAGCTGACAAATGAGAAAACCTGAAACCCTCACTGCAACAATGCAGCCAGGCAGCATTTGAACCACAGGGAAATTGCAGTTGCTACCAGTATTTTTGTAACCTCCCTTTGGGACTAGTTCTGCATGCAGAGACAATTTCCATTGTGCACTAGTACCTGAAGGAGGAATTTGCCGTTGGGAAGCCAGTCACCTGCCGGGCATCTCCCCAGCCAGGGGCTGAGCAGGCAGAGCTGAGCCAGGAGGTGGCAGCCCTATGCACACAGGCACCTCAGCCTGAGCACTGCACAGTGCAGAGGCAAGATGTAAACTCCCAAAGGCTTAACTGTGCAACATTACTCGAGATCCCAGCTGCATCACAGAACTGGAAGCACGGCAATAGCTCAAATAACTCTGAATGAAGTTGAGTTGTCAATCAGGCTTTATAAGTTCTTGCTGCAGTTTCAGCTGAATACTTCCTGCCTCAGCATACTGCCTCCAATTACAGTGTGTTTAGGTTGTGCAGCTATTCTCCCTTAAAATTTAATGCACATTTTTACATGGCTAATAAAACTTGGCAAAACTTGTGCTATAAAATTTGTATTATGCATTTTCTTGTAGAGTGTCCTTTTATGTGGCAGGAAAGCACATTACTCAGCCTTTGATGTCAAGGACGGTTAAATTCAAATCTGGAGAACCCAAACCAATCCCAGAAGTATCAGGAGTTATATGTATTCATCACTGGTGATATGCCTTTTTCTTTTTTCTGAGGTTTTATTAGCAGCAGCAGCTCTATCCCTGTCTTCCACTTGAATAATAATAATACAATAGTAATTCGCTGTGCAACAATGGGAGACCTGCAAATCTCAAGACACTTCCTCAAAGGTTGAGAAACTTCTTCAAACACAACTGATTTCAATAGGAATATGGGATTGATAGCACTTTATAAGAATGGATCCATTGCATCCCACATGGTCTTTCCATCAGGTTATTCTCCTAAAACAGCAGCCTCCAATCAAAACTACAAGGCAGTGGGAACTCTACAGGGTTTGAAAATTTGAGAGCTCCCTACACTGAAATAATAGTGTTGTCTGAGTGCCTTGCCCATTTCAACTCACTCACCTGTGAATTGCAGCATTGCAGACACTGGAAAAGGAAGCATAAATGTCGGTGCCATAAACACGGTATTTTACATCTTGACATCCAGGAGGGCATTTTGCAATGAATTCTGGATTGATTATCTTCCCCGCCTTGACATCACAATCAATCTGGGGTACATCTGTGAGTGCAAAGTCTTGGTAAAGTTAGATTGAATGTTCTCATAGCTGAGTGATCTCATCATGAAACAATGAGTAACCGAATGACAGGGATGCACTCCCCTTACGCCTTCGTATCAATGGTTTTGGGATACAAGATGTCTATGTGTTCTGCATCTACAACATAACACATAATAACCCTTATACCAAGGGATGTGACAGTAACTAAGGATGGAAAAAAGAAACCTGGGGATATTTCTGACCTTCAGTGTTTGCTTCTCTGAAGGAAATATCTGTTATGACACTTTGCTGGAGAGAGCAAGAAGTGTAGTCATCCGGGCTGTTGTTAACATGTGGGAAGGAGGGGGTAGGGATGCTTCCCAAGCCTCCTGCTGTGCTCGTGTAGCTCTGTGCCATCTTCAACATCAGGCTGCAGTCACAGCCCATTATCTTGCCCTTAAATTTTAAAACTATTTGCTGGGTACAATTTACTTTGAACAAGGGGTTTAAGTGTGAGTTTACAGCCTCACAGCAGGCTTATTTGTCAGCGACATGAGCAAAATAATCTGTGGACAGAATTGCTCCTACAGCAGTATAGCTGAAAGTTATACATCCTAGTGCACAGACATGCACCACTTGTCTCATGCTAATCAGCTACATATGTGTTGTGTTACAGCTGGTCCATTTCACATATTTCTCTCTCTCTCTCTCAGTGAAAATCTTAGTGCTTGCTTGGATCCTTGTGTGGTACCTAATGACCTATGAAGGTACATTTTAATAGTGAGGTACAAAATTTTCCCTTTGCACATGTCAAATAGCACACACTTTACTTAGTGATTTGTTTTCAATAAAAGAATCTGTTAGCTAGCATATACTCCCATTGACTCCACAAAATTGTGAAGAGTTACCAGAATATAACCTCACTTTGGACTTTTTTTTTTGTGCATCAGACTGTAAAACAGCCAAGAATTCTACTGGGACCACTTACATAACTTAGCCTTTTTTATCTTCTTTGTGGCTTCCTTAGCTGTGTATGTACACGTAAGAAACACACCTAGAACAAAGAAAATACAGTATCAGGAAAAAGGAGGACTATCAAAATCAGTCACCACAAGCTCCTATGCATGAGATTTCCCAAACTTGAATCAACAAGTTGAAAAACTGAAATAGGAATATTCTCAGCCACAGTTAGGTTTCTACTTGGTGGTTAACTTTGCAGTCAAGATGACATCTACTGTAAGGAAGTTCTCTGAAGGGGAGTAAAGATCAGCTCACATATTCATCTGTGGAACTCACTGTCTAAAGTTGTGAGTCCATATGGTCCAGAAAACCACAAAAAGTCCCAGTATTTCTGCAAGCAGGTGGAAACCCTTTGTAATTGCTGTGACAGAGATGTTAGTGAAACAACATACTCTGCATAAAGCAACTGGAAAGTTAGGGAGAGAAAGCTACTTCTTAACAGCCTGTCAGGGAGGTTATCCTGTAATTGTGTGTTGTGGCATTTCATTCACTGGTGGTAGCAGGTGTTGGATATTGGGCAGCATTAAGGACAATATGAGGTTTAGTGTGGCATGTCCGAGTATCCTAACTCGGCAGGAGCACTAACCTTCTTCAGTAAGCATAATTATGATTTTCAAAGTGTAACAGTAAAAGAAACATATGCTGTTATGTTAAAACATACATCACGATGTAAGTAAGTATTGTTAGGTTTACTTGCTAAGTGAAAACATACAAAACCTCTTCATTCTCTGTGTTTATTTTATAAGCACTATATAATTAATGACTTACAAATATCTTGACTTTCCTATTCACCTTTCCCTTCTCTGAGCTTTCAGAAGGAACTGAAACTACGACGTGTTAGCTGATCCTCTTATCATTTGTTAAGCTAATCTTACTAGAATATGCAGTGGAAGTAATATTTTTTTATGCACTTCTCCCCCTAGACTGATTGTGGAGAGTTTATAGACTTAATCACTCCCAGAACTTGCTCAAAAGGAAAAGCAGTCTCACAGTTGTCTAAAGTGACAGTGTATAGATGTGGTATTGGGCCTTTTGTCACTGGTGCAGTTGTGTAACAGAAGCAAAATTGTAATTAGGGAAAAAAATGGACCATTGGAAAATAAAGTGCAAAATCTCAACTACTGGGAATGTGGGAGCATAATTTAATGTGGAGAAATTAATTAAATAATTTATGCAGAAGAACTACATGGATTGCTGTGAATTTGAATTAAGAATGACTATCCTGCCAGACTTGAGGATAACAGCTGGAGGGGACTGTGAATATCACAACCAGAGTGTTCATGTAAGATGAGTTGCAAATTCTGGAGTCTCTACATGTTCCCAAAAAGCAAGATCCTGACTGCCAAGGAAAAGAAAATAAGACATTTATAACCTCTTGGTACCATCTTGTTCAGGAAAAGAGCAAGAACAAAGAGAAGAATTGGGAAAGGCTGTCCCTATATAAGAAACAGCTGATTTTTCTTTAGAGGGAATCTTCACATTACAGACATTTTTCAGGCCCGGTTGTGCCATCTGATATGGACTTCACATTGCTGGTCATGGACTTAGAGGTCTCTGCAAGTAATTAATACTTTTTCTCTACCTAAGTCAAGAAGTTTGGGTGGCCCATTTCTGAAAAGCTGTGCCAAGGCTTACACCTGCTACTGAAAGCTTCATCAGGCATGGAGTCCAAAGAGAAGAGAAGTAGCAATCACTGGTCAGCCAGTACAGGAGAGTACAAACCCATACTAATTGCAGCACATCAACTGTACTTACCAAAGAAGGTTGCAATGACTGTGGCCTTCATGGTGAGTAAAGCAAAATCTGGATGTGTCAGAAAGGAGCACTGAAAAGGGAAAGAAGAGTACATCAGACTGCTTTTGGAGGTATTGGAGATGACACTGGAATGGTGGGGGAAGAGGGACTGTGCACTATTCTTCAACCTTTCACAGTTCTCTTATGTTGAATCCTGTTCTCATGCTTTATAGAACAGTCAATGTCCCCAGAGGAGATGGTGTTTGGGCTGTGGCACTCTCATGAACTAATTTTTTACTTCTGTCCAAGATTTGCTTTTTGCCTCAGGAAACCAAGATTTCATTCACATATTTATGAGTCCAGTGCCAGGAGAGGGCATGATGGGCATGGACATGCACTGACAGCTATTCAAGTCTGTTCACTACTCTTCTAAGACATAATCACAGAATTGTATTGTCTGCAAATGAAACTGCACCATCTAATCTTATAAAGATATGGGGAACCTAAGTCCATTCACTCCTGAAGGACATTATGCAATGTATTTTGCTATTGTTCCATCTTTTTTTGAGCCAAATTTCTGGTTCCTTTCCTTTCCTGAGGACGTGTATGTGTGTGCATGTATGTGAGCACTTGAGATTAGGAGGACTCTGTCAGAACATCTGGAAACCATTTTTTTCTGTGTCTGTGTATATGGTTCATGACCTCTGCCATCCCTGAAACTCTTGGCCAGACTACAAGAATGCAAACTTATCAGAGAGAACTCTTAGCTCCTCCTGAGCATCACCTGCTGCTTTTGCTCTTATTTGGTGATTGTTGAAGGAATCCTGTGTTGGGAACTCAGAATTAATCAGTCATTAAAGTACTACATAATGCTTGACAAAAATCAGAGCAAGAGGTCTGAGAGGGAGCAAATATTTGTGTGTTGTACAGGGAAAACCTGAAGGATCAAAATAAACTTGATCTTCAAAGAAACTGATTGCATGCTTACAAATGGAAAGACCTGTATGAAAATAAAAACTGTTTTGCTAGCAAGAGAGAGAGCACATGGAATGTTAAAGCTGCAAATGATTATGAAAAGCAAGATACCTGCCTCTTGGAGAAACAGCAGTGGAAGATTTCACATAGCAGTTCACTCAGAAGCAAGGCTTTGGCTTCCCAGAAAGAAATTTAGACTGACAAGGCAGATGCAGGAGAGAGAGAAAATCTGCAATCTGTCTTCATATAAAATGTTTCCACAGTTTTTTACTTAAATTGCTCTTCTTTTTCAAGCAAGCCACATGCTTTTTAGTGAGGATGACTAAAATAGTATGCTAGACTAAACTGCATTCAGCCAGTTCTAGTTCTATATAATTTATAACCCTTTTTACAAGGAGCAGATGCACCTCTGATTTTTGCTTCTGTGCTACAGTCAGAGAACTTCAAATGCCAGGGCATACTAACAGTAACACTTCCTAATAGCAATGTGTCTTCCCTTGGTGATCTCCCTAAAACAGTCCTCCTCCTAGGCTGCTAAAGCTGAAAGCAAGAGAGGTTGCTCAAAAGACACTGAATTGAATCCTGTGGCTCAACACAGTGACTGTGTCTTTCTGAAAAATGATGAGCAGTGCAGTTGGGGTGTTCCCAGGCTGTACAGACCATAGCAGCAAGAGCAGTTATGTGGTAATATTCTGTTGTCTCAACCCATCAACACACAGAGGTATCAAAAAATTGCTCCCCTGTAATGAATTCTCACTTTAGGTCAGTCCCAGGAAAAGAAGAAGCGGAATAAGGGCTGCAATTCATTTGCAGAACCACCAGTTAAAGACTATAGTGGCACTGGCTTATGCTTTGGAGAAGGCATCTCAATATGAGTGTTCCCCAAATCTGTGGTGAATAAATGCAGCTGTGGCATCTTTACATATAGTCAAAGACAGCTATGTGAATTTGTCCTGACAGTATTTGGCTTGGTACTGAGGTGTTTTCATCTCCAATTTAATTAGAGTAGAAAAGGTCTGAATGGTAAAGGACCCATGTAAAAGCTGGCTTCATAGCAGGGGTTGGCATCTGCTCTGGAGAGAAAGTCCAATACTACTTAACTTTTCCAGTCTCACACAATGTATATCCACCTGTACCACCACTGCTGTACAAGACTTCCCATTGCTTCCCGAAGGCTCTGCTGTCCCCAAGCCTTACTGCCCCCAGGCCATGGCTAGCCACCCCAGAAGTCATCCCAGTCCTCTTGGGTGGCACTACCCTAGGCTTGGCTGCAATTGCAATCTCTACCTAATCTGCTGATGGGCATTGCTTTTAAAAGCAACAGAAAGTGAGCTTTTCTCATAAAATATTATCAATTTCCTGCAGAAAGAGGCCAAGATAGCTAAAACAATTTAATAATGTACCAGGCCATGGCTAGCCACCCCAGAAGTCATCCCAGTCCTCTTGGGTGGCACTACCCTAGGCTTGGCTGCAATTGCAATCTCTACCTAATCTGCTGATGGGCATTGCTTTTAAAAGCAACAGAAAGTGAGCTTTTCTCATAAAATATTATCAATTTCCTGCAGAAAGAGGCCAAGATAGCTAAAACAATTTAATAATGTAAATCCTGTTGGTATGGGTTCAGTTCAGCAGACCCCTTAGCCTGCAATAACAGATGTTTATCAACAAGAAAGCTAACTGAAGCATTTAGACAAGGGTGTTAGATTTACTTAACAGATTTGTTGTCATAGCTACACAGAAAAGCATCTTACTGTGGACTCTGTACTCTGCTGGTACAGTTTATACTAGCATCCTGAGGGAAATAAATTGTAATAGTATAGAAACTAATTTTTGCCACTATATTAATTTCTACATTAGGCACTGGCATATCACAGAAAATGCATAGACATCCTGTGACACAGCTCTGGTGACAGTACTCAAAGGGGGGTCCTGGCCTTCAGACCTTGGGCTGTCACATGGGGAAATGTGCAGGAGGATTTACACTGCTGACTATTAAGTATCAGGCATAGAAGCCCCAAGCTTTCAGTTGTGGGAAGTCTGTGTGCATTCATTGTACTTGGGGCCTAGGGAGTCACCTGATTAAGCTGTGTGAGATCTATACTGTGGGCTAGCATGGCATCAGCTACTTCAGATTGGTAGAGGGAGCAACAGCCTGGAATAAAACAGTGGGGGTTTTTGTTTCCCTGGGAAGGAAAGGGAAAGCAGGGCTCCAACCCATGCATATGACAGGCTTTTTAGTCTGTGTAGATCCACTGGGAAGTTTGGGGATGTTTTATCTGTAGATCTAGAAGCATACTTTGCTATTAAATACAAAGCTGTACTTCCTTTGTTGCTTTACAAAGGAACAAAACCTCCAAAACATTAGACCTAAAATTTTCTACTTTAGGTTAGTCTGGAGTATGAATTTTGCTGAGATTTATCCTAATCAGATTTCTGTTAGTACAGTATTTGCAGTCCCAGTCAGAACTGGTAACTAGTGACTATTCAGTATTAAATCCCCCTCTATCAGAGTACATTTCCCCCTCTGTATCCTTCAGACCATCATAACAGAAGTTACCCTTATGTCAGGAAAGCAATTAAGTATATGCATTACATTAACAAGTGCTTAAATGGCAGCTAAGTTAAGTACAAATGTAGTAATCTCGTTCATTTTTTCCCAGTGCAGATTCTATTTTACCTTTTAAAATCAAAGTTCTATTGGAAAGAATGTTGATTACTTTTTCCCTACCATACATACTTGCAAAAGCTTGAATGTTAGTGAAGAGACAGAGTTAGCAGACTATTCTTTCTGCATATAAAGTAAGATTTTTACACTGACCTTTTATTAGCAACTTGACTTTTATAAAGATCTGAAAGAGCTGCTACATACTACAAACAAACAGATGGTTTAAATCCACATAAACTGTCATGCATGGCAAATTATAACATTTTCTGATGGAAGTGTGGGTTTTAAGTCCTTGATTTTTGGTGTCAGACACTGCTGCCCATTCCACGTGCAAACTGAAATTCTTTGCTGGTGCCATGTGCTTTGCCTCTGCAGGAATAAGCAGTTTATCTCCTGTAATCTCCTGTGCCACAGAAATTAATTTGTATACTCTCTTTGTACCACAATAGTGTGTGTTATTGTTCCCTTTCTCCAGGGGTTTTAAAATCACAGCAGCACTGGCACCAAAAGAAAACAGAAGTGGACTTTGTTTGAAAGTTTTCTGAGCAAGCAGCATGGAGTTAGCAGCATGATCTCTAAGCACTGTGGGTTGAGTTAAATATGTGACCTTTCTGGGAAAATCAAGTAGGCTTGGTGTAGGTGTGAGTAAACTGGTTTGGATAAACAAGAGCTGATCATCATTTTCTAGGAGAAAATGGTTTAGATTTCTTTTTTGTTCCCTTTTGCGTCTAAAAAAATTGTTTAACCCTTTCTTTGTTTCATACTCTGTCTCTAAGGTTTTGTACCTTGCTTGGCAGTACAACAACTGTTTGGTTTGGTGCACTCTAGGTAATATGGCTAACACTTGTTAAATGCAGTTTAGTTTGACACCCTTTCTTGTCAGAGGGAAGAAATGGTGTACCCTCAGTGCACTGAGTTGCTCTGAAAGTCTGTACATTAAAAAACACCAAACATCTAAATGGTTGGTTCTTTTAAAAATGAAGGTAATTAGTTCTGCTGAGACAGAAAAGTCAAACTGATAACTATATTTCATTTTAGAAGCTTAGATTGCCCCATAGCTATCCCAGGCCAGGTCATAAAAGGTATGATCCAAGGTGCTGTTTTGCAAAGGTGAGCCTGTTTGCATGGGATACTAGACTTTACTCTTTGAGTGGTCTGAAATACGGTATATGCATCCAGGAATTAAAAAATATCACAGCCCTCATCTCCTGCTCCTGTAAAAGAAAGGTGAGTGAATGCTCACCTATTTTCTTTCACATATAAAAGAACCCAAAAATGCTTCCTGGAGGCAGTGCTGAGCTTCAGAGTACTGTGGAGCACTCTTTAATTACCCTGTGCCTCAAAAAGCCAACAAGGAAACCTGGGCTTTTACTGGCTGTAGGTCTTCCCTTGTGGTAGAGGGACTGTAAGAA